ATAAGAGTTTTTGTTTCTTATACCCTGAAAGTAATAGTGAATGTAATAATAAAATTGACTTTAAATTTCCATTTAAGTCCAAATATTTGGAATATTAAAAATAAATTTAAATTTCATCAATTTTTATGTTGTTTATTATTTTTGTTTTTGTATTTTTTCAAATAAAGTAGAGATGGGGTCTGGCCGTGTTGCCCAAGCTGGTCTTAAAGTCCTGGGTTCAAGCAATCTGCCACCTCAGTCTCCCAAAGTGCTCGGATTACAGACATGAGCCACCACAATCGGCCTTTTTATATTATTTATTTTCTTGAAGTTTATCTGTTCATGCAGAGGTTGATTTTCTAAAATCAATAGTTTTAGTCCTTTGGGTTTTCTCATACAACTAGAAAAGAGCACTTGAAAATTTCTCAAAATGAAGCTAAGTTTTCTAACATTAGTAAACTACTGTGTTTGACAGCATGAATTCATCACATCTGTAGCGGGTAACACAACGATGGCAAGAGAGTATGTGTTCCTAGAATGTGGAGGAAGCATTCAATTATCTATTTATTCCCAAATTTCACTACAAGCAAAGATTGTATCATATTGATAGGTTCATGTCTTTCCTGCAAAATGAAGAGATTTTATGTAACTGAGAAAAGATACTGTATAAAGAAAATTTCATTCCCTGCTGACATTCTTATAACTTGCTACCTATAATTTATCTGATAAAAAATTGTATAGGCAATCTCTAAGCAAATAGTTACTGTAACAGCTGTGCTATTTCTCACTGTCATACAAACATTTGAAAAAGCATACATATTTGAAAAAAACTTTTCATTTAATAAGAAAGCACTGAACCTATTCAGAGATACTGATGGCAATATATTATTTAAGGTATTGTTAAATGATGCAGTCTAAAATAGCCCCCAAAACTAATTTTTCCCCCTAAATAATGATCATAAATGCTATATAAAATGTCTTCTACTAATGTAGTTTTATTTTTCTCAGAGCTTCAATATTTGTATTGTATTTAATATTTCATTAAATAAAATTTTCCTCCCATAATTTTAGTCATGGACTCTCTAACCAATCTTTTCATATGTAAGATTCAACATTCTGGGTCAAGATCCAAAAGTCATCAACATTTCTATTCTAGCGATATTGTCACCCCATAGTCATATAGTGCCTCCCAACCATTTCCAGAGTATTAAATACATCTCAGTCAATCTTTTCAAATATAACTACAAAGGAAGTTGATTACAAAAAAAGCAGAGAAGGACTTTGGCAATGGCTTTCCCAAATGACAAGCACAAATTGGTCAGAGTCCATTCAGACCTTCTCAGCCTAGTGGTGGTTTCTAGGCTGTGTTGTGAAATGTCCTCAGTGAACCAGTATATCCATGACAAAACTGCTCCCTATTAGCAGTGGTACAGCTTTTTCCAGTGCATTCCCAAGGCAATTATACGGACTTCCATCATTCCCCTTGATTTCTTTGGAAAAAAACACAGAATTGCTGTTTTATTAAAGGATTTCCAAGTATTGACGACTTAGTAAATGGACCAAAAACTGAGACTCAATTCTTCAAAATTCGTTAGGCCCTCTCTCAATTTGGATCCTGTCAAAACCCTCTGGGCCTTTCACCTTCAAATATAGGTAGCTGCTACCCTTGGAAAAGCACCTCAGGATGTCAAGAACATAAAATTAAGAGAGTTGAGAAAGGCCTTACACCTTATCCAGTATTACCTCCTATGCACATATGAGAAAACTGAGTCTGAGAATTAAAATGACTTATTTAAGGTCACATAACTGACCAATCACCATTTTACCCCAAGTATGTGTCCTTTACTAGGACTTCATATTTCAGTAGATCTTTAACTTTATTAAAAAACAAACACAGTAATCTTCAAGTTAAGAAAATAGGTGCTTGAAAATCATTATTTTAGGGCTATTTGCAAGTGGCGGACATAGAACATGGGAGTCCAAGATCAGTAGTGAGCCATGAAACCCTTGTAAATATTTTCATATTTACCCAAGTGTAAAAAAAATAAAAAATAAAAAAAGGAGGGAACAACACAATCAGTGAAAGTTCCAATTTACATATCTTAAGTTAGTAATAACAGGTACTAAACCTATTTTTTTAAACTGTTGCTTACCAGGAACTTGTCAGGAACCGCCTATCTTCAATTTCAATGAAAGGCATATAAATGCATTTTGTTTTGTGCAGAAAACAGATAGACAAAGAGGAATCTTTTCCTGTGCTGATCTCCCATCCAAATGCCAAATGTCTTACTAAATCTATGACTTTAATAGTTTCACCACCACTGTCAGCCTCTACTTCACATATCATAGACATCAGTAATTTTGAGACATAGATTTACTCTCCCATCCTTCTTTCTCTCTCCTACTGTTTCGTTGTGAAAACCACTGCTTCCTTTCTGCAATCCACTTTATCTCCTCTTTAGAATTCCCAGCACCCAGTTTTCTCTTCTTCTAATCACTTAAATTAGGAAAAATTCCAGATTTAATAGTCTTACACTTGGCAGAAAAGAATACAGAAGGGAATTCTCATCTATGTAACTCCTTTGTTATGGACTAATCACCAAAGTGTGCAAGTAGGTCCATTATCAGAAGAAAAAAAATCTTAGAAGTTAATCACAAAAACACACAGAGGCAAAGGAGACAATAAGACATGTCTTTATGTTTCTCTTACAGTTATCTGTTTTTCAGTCCATACGGTAAGTTTCAGTTGAGAGTCTAGGAGTCTCTTCTCCCTCTAACCAACTATCTTCCTCTTTGGTGTTTTCTCCTCTTGGATTCTTTGCTCTAACTTCGCGCCAACCCCAGAGTTTCACTCTCTACTAATAGCTAGCGAAAGGCCCAAACTGTGGGAATCTTTGCTCCTACCTCCACTCTAGGAAGGAATGAGATAAATTTACTGTTGGTAGAACTGGATTCCTCATAGGAGCAGGCCTACGTCTTTGAGTTTTTCCAAGAAAAAAAATCACAAAAGGCAAACAGACCTTTTTAATATTTAATATTTTTAATATTTATTTTAATACCTTTCCCTTTTTAATATTGATGACCTTTCATGACATGACTTGGATGAAGCTTAAACACTCCCTTTCTAGTAGAATGAAATGAAAAAAATGTAGAAAAAAATGAAAAAGGGGAAGCGATCAAAGAGGATAAACATTTTGCATTTGAGAAATTTAAAATTGTAAAGTACTTATATTTATATCTAATTTCCATCTCTTCTCACCCGCTTAAGGATTTTATTCCACTTTCACCCTTCTCTATTCTGACTCATCAACATTTCCCTTTCCAGTGGAACATTCCCAGTAGCAGAAAACTCTCTTGATTTCATTTTTGATCTTTCTCCAGCCTCTGCCCCATCTCTCTGCTCCTCTTCACAGCAAAACTCCCCAAAAAGTGTTGTCTATACTCATTGTCTATAGTTTCTTTTCTGTTGTCTATTTTTTCTCTCATTATTCAAAATATTCCACATTTAAATTTCTCTCACTCTCTACTATGTCAAATGTTCCTATGTTGTGGGTATCATATTGCCCCTTTTAATATGAGGATTTTGAAGCAAAGAGCTTCCAGCAACATGGTAACCCGAGCTAAGGAAGACTCTCTTCCCCCCGCAAATATATAGAAATGCTAAATAACATAAAATAATATATCATGGCTTAAAGTAAGATGAGGAAATCTCCAGTTGCCAGAAACTGGGAAGAAACCTGAAGATACAGCGGTGAATGCATAGGCCCCAAAATCCCCAGCACTGCCCAGAGCTCTCCACTGGGCAGAGCTCCATGCCCCAGGGCCCTCCAGGTCCCTTATTCTCTCTTAAATTCTCATTAACCAGGATTTCACAACTTTGCCTCTTGGATGTCTAATGGGCATCTCAAAATGAACATGCCCAAAACTGAATCCTCGTCTTCCCCACAAAAAACTATTCTCCCCACAATCTTCCCTATGATTAATTTATTTACTGCAATTCCTTTCTTCCAGTTGGTCCAAGTCAAGAAGCTTGGCATCCTCTTTGTTTCTGACACCCTCAAAGTGTCAGCAAATCCTTTTGTCACAATCAGTCTTTTTCCAAGACGTCTTTTATTAACACCCTAGTCTCCAGCACAGTTGTCTCTGGCCTATTACATTGCAGTCATCTCCTAAGTGTTCTCCCTGTTCCTGCTCTAGCTCTATTCCAGTGTATTCTCACAGCAGCTAAACTAGGTCTAATAAAACATAAGAAAAATCACAGCCCTTTTATGTTCATGAAACTCCTATTGCATCCCCATCTTAGAGTAAAATTGCCAGAGTTTTTCCCATGATCCTAAGGTCCTGCCAGTCTGTCACGGCCACCTCACTGACCTCATATCTTATCATGCTCCTCCTCCTCCACTGTGCTCCATCTGTACCTGCCTCTTGCTGTTTCTCAAATACACCAACCAGATGCCTGTTCTGGGTGGAAATAACTGGTCATGACTGACAATGGTTTAATACCACTCTCCTTGGGATATTTGCGTTTGGCAAGCATTTGGCTAAAGGGAAGAACTTCCAATAATGGAATATTCAGTCATTTCAGACAGCTTTGAGGGAAAATGTTAGGAGGAAATAGCCCCTAGTATTTCTCAAATCACATGGTTAGATTATGATATGCTATGGCAGACATTAATATAGTCATAATTCCAAATGTTTTAATGGTTTCATTGGACTTTAGAAGTAGTAAACTTTCTTAGTTCTCCTTTTCCCATTATTCTGTAGCAATCATAGAAAATAACTTCTGCTTTTCCTTTTTATCTCGTGCAATCAGCACAGTCTTTGGGTGGAGTTTTTAAAGTGCAGAAAGTTTCAGAGACAAATATTTACCTCTATATGTAACCCGTACTAGAATAGTCAGTACCTAGAAGCCACTCTTCTTTGAAAAGGATTATCACCTGATCAGGTTCTCTCTGCAGTTGCCCCTTTAGAGTGTGAAATGTGGCTCAAGTTCTTCACAACTTTCCTTTCCTTTGCAACAGGTGCTTGCTCGGGGCTGAAAGTGACAGTGCCATCACACACTGTCCATGGCATCAGAGGTCAGGCCCTCTACCTACCCGTCCACTATGGCTTCCACACTCCAGCATCAGACATCCAGATCATATGGCTATTTGAGAGACCCCACACGATGCCCAAATACTTACTGGGCTCTGTGAATAAGTCTGTGGTTCCTGACTTGGAATACCAACACAAGTTCACCATGATGCCACCCAATGCCTCTCTGCTTATCAACCCACTGCAGTTCTCTGATGAAGGCAATTACATCGTGAAGGTCAACATTCAGGGAAATGGAACTCTATCCTCCAGTCAGAAGATACAAGTCACGGTTGATGGTGAGTCCCCTGTGAGTGTATGTGGGTAGCAGTCTAGTATGGTAGTTAGCAAAGGCTCAGGAGACTAAATACCTCGGCTTTAGATCCTGGCTTCACAACTTTGCACAAATCAATTAATCCTCAAAGCCTCAATGTCTCATGGCACTAATGACATTATCTACCTCACAAGGCTTTCTGAAGATTAAATAAGACATGCATGTAAGAGATATACCTAGTGCCTAGCAATAGGTAATCAAGCACTACATATAACTTATTGTTTGTTTGCCTGGGAACTATCAAGTATAGTGTTGCTAATTTGATGAGATGGAGAAAAATCTTATTTTCTCAACAATAGACTATACCCTGGGAAGAGCCCTATTTTTGTCATGAAGATTTTTGTTTCAGTACACTGTTTGGAAGAGGATGAGACTTGTGCAGGAATGATACTTAGGGACAATGGACATGCCTGAAAATGTCCTCTGAGGGACAGTGGGGTCAGCTAACTTTCAGACACTTGTTTTCCTTATTGAAGTAAGTGACATACGCAAAATATACTGTGCCCAAAGCCCAACTTCTGATTTTTTCTCTCTACACCTGTTTATTTATAACAGTATTCCCCATTTTAATAAATACGAATTCCATTCTATCAATTACTCCAGCCAAAACCTTGCAGTCACTGTTGACCTCTTTTTCTCACATCCCACATCCAGTCCACAGGAAAGCCTATTGGCTTTACCTGGAAAATATAGACAAAATCCAACCACTTACCACCCCCCAGTACTGCCCCACTCAATACCACAATCAGCCATGGCCTGAACTATCCTAATAGCTTTGCCACCTACTCTCCCTGCTTCTATTCCTGCCTCCTTCAGCTTAAAATCCTCCCATTGCTTCTATCTCACTCAGAGTATAAGTCAAAGTATTAACAATTTGCAATTCCCCACATACCCAGTGCCTATCTGACCCCATTTTCCTATCTGTATCCCCCTCACTCACTTGGTTCTGGTCATGCTGGCCTCCATGCTCTTTCTGGAACAGGCCAAAACACACTCATTCCTCAGGGCCTTTGTACTTGCTGTTTGCTCTACCTAGACAGCTTTTCTCCAAGATACTAGCATGCTCCTCTCATTTCCTTTAGGTCTCAGCTCAAATGTCACTTTGTCTGTGAATTCTTTACTGACCACACTATATAAAACATAATCTCACTTCCCCAAACACACACACACACACACACACTCCGAGAAAAAAGAGAGAGAGACAGAGAGAAAGAGAGAGAGAGAGAGAGAGTCACTCTCTTTCTCCAATTCTGCTTCTCTCTCTTTCATAGCATTTATTACTACCTGGGCATATTATAGATTTTTATTTGTTTATTGTTTCTCTTCCCCACCTAGAATATGAGGTCCCTGGGAGCAGGGACTTTGTATTATTTGCTGCTTTGTCCTCAGTGCTTAAAACCTTTGCTGATCGCTAGTAGATTCAGCAACTATCTGTGGAGTAAATGAGTGGCCACAGAGGAGACCGGGGAGACTTCAGGGGAGTAAAGATGCAGAAGGTAAAAGCAAATGCCTATAGAGCAATTGTGGGGAAAAAGACAAGAGAGATCTAAAGGGAATTTCCATGAAGATTTCCTATATAGTGTCCTGTCTCCCTCCTAATACAATATCCTTTCTTGTTAATTAGTAGTAAAGTTAAATCTGCTTAGGAAAATGCAACCAAAAACTTAGTAAAGCCTCAATAGGGTTTTAGGGCCTGTGCCAAAATTCTTCTCAGAAGAAAAACTTCTTCATCTGAGTTATACTGTTTTAAGCAAAGGTATGATCACAATACCAGTGACTATTCTAATGATTGGTTCTTCTCATACAAGACTGTTGATATGTTACCTATTTATCTCATACCACTTACAGTTCCACACACAGGTGCATTTGAAATAAAAGATTTTTCTGCATATTAAATGTACACAATTTGTTTTTCTTTTTAAATCATAATATCATGAACATAAAGCTTTTCCCAATCTTTTGTTCTTGCCAGGGAAGATGAAGGATTAAATTAAATAGATGAGCCAGTTGATTACACCCTCCTTGAAAAGTGCTAGAGGCTTCAGAACTACTCAGTTCCCCTATAAGTTACCTTTCGACCTCCTTTCCCTTTCACTTTCTTCTATCTTCTCTGGGATGGAGAATTGGTCAGTTTGTTCTCTAATGCACATTTTCTAGTGTACAAAAATATAAGCACAAGTCAAAATAAATCTACCTGAGGAAGATGCATCGACCCTAATTAAAAGCTTGACAGGAAATTGAAGTCTAAACATTGGACACAATCATCTCTCACTTATGTATCATCCTACTCTCTCTGTGTCCTGTAGTCATACATAAAAGGGGATTACTAAATACACCCCGCTCCAAAATGCAGAAGAGAAACATTACCAGATGTGAAGCCCTCTTCATTTTGCCACTGACTGCTGTGTAACTCTGGGCAAGCCACTGTTTTTATCAATTAAGTCAAGAACTTCAATGATTAAAGAAAATTGCCAAAAATGGTTGCAGATTCTTATATAATTCTACCATGATTATATAATCCATCAACTTTACAGTTAAAATTCAGAGAGAAAATATTTACTCATTTTTGGAAATTTACTTTGACAAATATTAAGAGCCTACTGTGTGGCAGATGATGAACTAAGACTATTTTCCTATGACTTGACTTTCCAACAGGAATTTCTATTGGATTTGTATTTTTTTCTCTAATTTGATAAAAGCCCAAGAATATATTTTATCCTATTTTCAGACTGAGTCAGTGTTGAAATGCAGGCTCTAATTTGTTAAAGTGACTAACATAATGTTACAACACAAATGCAAAGCAATTAAAGTTTATAATTGCTTCATGACATACATAGAAAGAATAATTGTACATATGTGATTCGCTAAAACTATCCCTCAGTTTCCCAAAAGTATAGTATATATTAGCTGTATATTTTGCAGATGATAGAAATTTGAGTTCACCACATCTATCCCAACCAGCTGCTATTGGGACATTAGGACAAGTCAATAGAGGGGAATAGCCATATAAATTTTGCCTGGGAAAGTGTACCTTTATGGTGTTGGTGAAAGCACAATGAACAGGAAATAAGAAAGCTGGCATTCCATTCTTAGCCACCTATAAAGTAAAGGGCTTCATTAGATCATCCTTGAAAAGTAAGTTCTGGAATTTGATTATCTCTGACTATAAAGGATATTCTCATATTTTGACATTTTGCATTTTCCCTGGCTTTTTATTCTCTTCTCTTCTTTAGTTATTACCTGAGCTGTCTACATTTACAATGTAAAATGCTGGAATAATTTCTCCAGGACTTCATATTGGAAAGACCTCATAAGGTTTTATTATAATTCAATGAGAAGAAAAAATCATTGCTATCTCTCTTAATATTGCAGATCCTGTCACAAAGCCAGTGGTGCAGATTCATCCTCCCTCTGGGTCCGTGGAGTATGTGGGGAACATGACCCTGACATGCCAGGTGGAAGGGGGCACTCGGCTAGTTTACCAATGGCTAAAAAATGGGAGACCTGCCCACACCAGCTCTACCTACTCCTTTTCTCCCCAAAACAATACCCTTCATATTGCTCCAGTGACCAAGGAAGACATTGGGAATTACAGCTGCCTGGTGAGGAACCCTGTCAGTGAAATGGAAAGTGATATCATTATGCCCATCATATATTGTAAGTTTATTTTTTTTTAACTCATGAGTTTTTTGTTGTTGTTGTTTTCTGAGAATATCTCCCAGGATAGTCACAGAGAATATAAGTACCAGATGTCATTTGGCTTTTACCTTTATTGTAGTTCAGTAGTTCTAATCATAGCTCCTAGGCACTGTCTTGTATGAAACATGTCTACTAGCACAACCCTATTTCTTAAAGATCAAGTTGAAATACTGGCCAGGGGCCATTCAGGTTGTATTTCGTGATTCAGTCCATTGTGTGACCTCATTCCCAGTGGAATGCAAGAATCTCAATTTCAAGTACCCAGAACAATGCAGAGGCTGCAATGAAGAAACTGAAAAATACCTTGAGAAGAACTTTTTTCCTCTCCAAATATTACCATTCCTGAATTTAACATACTTTATTTTTCTCTAGTAAAATATTTTCTTTACATCAATCATTTCTTCTAGCTCTTTATCTGTATGTCTTTCCATCCCTACCTGCCTATCTTTAAACTCTAGCCATAGATTTAAATGAAAAAGTCCTGTGGAAAATTGCTTAAGCAATTACAGGCACATGCAAATATCATTTTTGAAATATACTTTTGTTTTGCTATACAGTTCATATTAATCTGGAAAAATGAAAATAAGATCTTTCTTTCAACATGTGCAAGTCTATGCACCAATCTCATTATTATCACAGAATATGCTGTGATACATAGTGTGGAAAATATAAAAATGGGAAGGAAAACCATAATCAAACCTGCAAATGTTAAACATTATGCTTTAGGCTCCTAAGACTTCTTTCCTTCACGATGTTAGTTAAAAGAATGAGAATACCCCAATTTGAGTAAGTTCACACTTCACAGAATCTGTCATTTGCTGACAGATTGAACTCTCTTCTTTACATTATTTTAAACATTATGTATGAAAAATCTCACAGAGAAACATCTATCACATGCAAAGAGTAATGACAGATAATAGAACATTTAGAAAATTTACAAATGTGGGTTCCATTTACACATTGTAAAGATGAATTATCTACATGGCTTAAGAAAGATTTTGACTCTTGTTAATTGCTAATTGTGAACATTGCATTACTAATTTTTGTCTTCACTATTTTTACATTCAAATGCAGAATCCTTCACTTGGTCAACATCTTATCTTATTGATACTCATTCATTCACTTATTTATTCATTTATGGACTCATTCCTTTATAGATTATTTGATTTTAAAAATCAAACATCAGGTTCTTATTTGTGCTAAACAGTTACTACCTACCATACAATATGTACAAACACAACTCAGACCCATTAATTTAATAATTTTTCTTGCTGTCACTATTTTGGCCCTGTTTTTGTTTTGGTTGGTTGGTTTTGTTGCTTTTGAGTAACAAAAATTAAATAAAATGTATACTGTAATCTGAAGATTGGTTGTATATCCTATCTGTTGATGTGGCATCCAGATGTTTACAATCTTTATCATTCCCTGCAAGCTGGGAATATGTGCCTTGGTTGGTGTTATTCACACTTCTCTTTCTTCATCTGGTTACCTTCTTCTTCCTTCACGACATTATCCTTTCCAGAAAGGTTTGCCTGCCTCCACTTGTCTCACCACCTCAGTGTCACTAATAGGTTCATTGTGCTCCTTCAGCATCCTAGGCACTCTCATTCCTGGTCCTCTCTGCATTCTATTTTCCCTGACTCTCATGAACACCACAAACCCAAACCAGAGTTCTGCATTCTTCATCTTTGTATCCATAGGGCAATAGCTGACAGAGATTAAGAAATCAATAAAGTTTCTTGAACTGGACTAAAATGGAACAGATTATCTTTCTTCATATCCCTTTTAGATTCCAGTGTTACTTGACGATGCTGTAAAAAGGCTAAATTCCCATTATAAGATGACAGCTTCTTCATTATAGTGCTTTGGCACTTTTTTCCCTGACCTTTAGCAAAATCAACTATTCTGTTTTCTAAAGGCACTGTTTCCATGAAGGGTTTTTTCATGAAAGTAGGAACTAATTTTTATTTTGGCAGAAAAAGTATAACAAAATCTATTAAGACTGACTATATACTTATGAGGTTGTGATGTCATAATCTGGTATTGGCCCTGGTGGACTACAATGTCAAACCAATAACTCAGACAAGTATCTACTTGCAGTTCATGATACGCCTTCAAGCTCCAGTTGTAAATAATAACCCAGTAACCACTGCATTTTGTGTGCAACATATGGCAATGCTGCAGTGGAGAGCTCTAAGTGATAAAAATTAAAGGGAAAATAAAAGGTCATTCACAGTAAATACTTACCATCTGTTCCCAAACAGGGCGGCAAACAGCATCATGATGTAAATTTAGGTACTGTTCCCACACAGTCATAAATTGTTAAAGAGAACAGATGATATGTGATTTTACAAGTCATTTAGTAAACAGCCATCCCCAAGGCAAAGGGTTCATTTCTATTGGGAGCTCTCTGCCAAAGGCAAGAAAGTAAACCATAATCCAAAGTCAAAATGGAATTATCTTTCTGCTTTCATCTTCAGTATCAGAGGTCACTCTAGTTGAATCACTCCAAATATCTCCAATTGGATGGCCCATTCACTTGAATAAGGTACTAGGCTGCCCCTCCAAGTAGAGGGATAGTCAGCCTGGAGTTCTAATGATAAAGGAAATAACATCATAGTAGAGTCAGAAGAAAGTAGATTGTAAGCAACATGTAGAGTATGAGATGTAGTTAGATTTGTGTGCATGTGTGATAAAGAGAGAGAGAAAAAGATGCATTAAAGAAGGACTTGAAAATCATCCATGAAATGTGGATATTTGTTCTCTGAGCAATAAAATTACAAATGACTTTCTTTTCATCTTTGTGCTTCTCTGAATTTTAGGATTTTCTGCAAAAAAAAAAAAACCATGCATTTCTTAAGTAAATAGATAAACTATGTTACCTTTTAAGAAACATATCAGAAGCAAGGAACTGAAATGCTTCAAAGTGTTAGGTTCAAGAGTTGGAAGAGGTGTTGAGGTGGGGGCAAGGAAGTTTGAGGGATTTGAGGCTGCTTCTGAAGAGTCAGATATAGCACATAAATAAAACAGACAGAAGAGAAAAAATTACGCCAATCATGAAACTCACTAAATGAGGAAGTAACAAAATCAAAATAAACATGATTAAGGAAGATAAGCTAAGATAATCAGATTACTTTCTTTAAAGGTATTTTTATTTTAAACCAGAATGATCTTATTAAATTAGATAATTGACCTTATTTACCAGCCTTAGCTCTAAATGAGTATGGGCTTCCTCTACAAATTAAACCCACCCTCTGAAATTGAAATTGAAGAATTACTGCTTGTGAGAATACTCCATTATGCGGCAGGGTCCTAAGGCAACTCCAAATGAGGAGTTCCCCAAAAAGTTTTGAGTAATATCAGCATGCTTGAAAAGGAGTAACACTCATTTTTGTGTTTATTAAATTACTAGACAATTTGTTTTCATAGCCCCATTCTCTATACCCCAAAAACCAGGGGGAAGATGAAGACCTAAATTGAGTGGCTGTGTTTTTGTGACCACATTTTTCTTCTTTATCAAGTCTGCCTCGCTCTACTCTTAGACCCTCAGACTTTAGTTTTTGTACATAGACTCAGGTCTCTTGCTCTTCCAAACTATAGTAAATTCCTCCTGCTGGTTTCCTTCAATGTGAACCATAACCGTGCCCGTTGCTTGGTGATCTTTCCTTTCCTAATGTTCTATCAATGCTGACAACATGAAGGATTCCTTCTGAACCACAAGGCCTGAGATAATAGCCATACACAGCATGTGATCAACATCTCAGATGTCGTCACTATGCCTAAAATCATACCATGTGCAAAGTAATCTCAATATTGATTTTGGTTGAGTGAGCAAAAACAAATTTTTGTTCCCATTACCCTACTTACTGTTTAGTGGAATTCAGAATAAAAGAGTTCCATTTTACAGCGCACTGTTCTAAAGTTTTTATCACAGTGGTTTCACCTGAGACTGTGTCACAGCCTGAAATGAGGGAACAGGCTTCTTATACAGTAACAGGAAAGGGGCAGAAATCTCTCCTTATTTTAATCCTGTACCTTCAGTTCCTGATTACTTTAAATTGAAAGTACTAACTTCTGTTTGCTTTCTGAAAGCAGGCTTACCTCATGCAGGTATATTAATACAAACCTGTAGGGTTCCTTCACATTTCTCCATATGCCTTTTACTCTAGAAAGAAAACATAGATTAGTCTATGCTTTCTAGCTAAAGATAATCTATTGTTTTGTATATTCGTTTTCTGTTATAGCTTAGAAAATTTGTCTCCTCAGTGGCAGACTGTTCAGAAAATGCTGATAGAGAACTACTCTGGGAATTTGCGAACTTGGGATTGGTTTGCCAATATCCAAAATGGTTTTACTAGGTTGGTGCAAAAGTAATTGCAGTTTTGGCCATACTTTTAATGGCATGGCAAGAATCCTGGTGTTTCAAAGGGGTTAGAAAGAATCTTGGCAATCAGTCCTCTAACCTATCTTTTCATATTAAAAGGTGAGGAAAATGAGACCCAAAAAATTCAAATGACTTCTGAAGAATGCCTAGCTAATGATTGAAAAAAATCAGTTACCCTAATGTTTAGTTACTACATTCTATTATTCTGCATGTGGAGAGATAAATAGCTCATACTTTAAGAAAAATCAGGGCCTTTAAGATGAGGTCATCACTGAGCAAACCATCCATAGCCATATCCAGTTTGTAAATTCCCTGAGAATATGAATGTCTTATACTTCCATCTCCCATATTCTAAATATATTATCTCATACTTAGCAGCTCTCAAATAAATATTTGATTCATTACTTGATTGGATGATTACAGAATTAATATTAATATATAATTAGTAATTGATTGTAGAACTAGTACTATAGTTAGACAACAATAAACTATTATGATATAGAAAGTTATACCACTTTATTTCTTTCTAGAGAAGTAATATGAATGATTAAGTGCATATATTTTAGAGTCCCAGCTCTGCTATTTAATAGCTATATGACCATGGGCAAATAAATTGTTTAAATATTACTTTCCTCATCTTAAAATTAGAATAATGACATCTACCTCCTGGTGGTTGCTTTAAATATTAAATATTATTATCTGCATAAGCACTTAAAGTGTCTTCTCATGGCAGATATCCAATAAATGTTGGTAATGAGCAGCTGAAAGGTGTACATAAGCATACCTAAAACTCAAAGATTTTTAGACTATAAGCCAGGATTTAGAATGAATGAGAAAACCTATCTAGGTGAAGATTATTTTTTAAATTTTCCTTATTCTCTGAAGAAAGCAATGGGAAATGTGTCTTCACCTACTGGCAACCTAACACCATAGAAATGGTAAAATGCTACAGGAGTACTGCAATGTGGATAAAAACACCAGGGGATTAAGTAGTTTATTGATAATCAATGCATATTAGTTAACGATAAGGAAGATGTAATTTTTTTTTTTCAAATGGAATCCTAAGCTTAGCCGGGTCGTGGGTGGGAGGATTTAAAAAATTCTTTAGCTGTTAAAATGTTGTAAAAATACCAAACACCCCTATGTCTATTTGCACAGTGTTCCATGTGAAACAATGTCTTCTATAAATATTTATATGGCCTACCCTAGCCCTGAGAAGAAAAATAGATAGTACCGAAAATATGGTTGTTAAAGAGAAAATAGTGGCCATAATCTGTTGTAAAAATATTTTCAAGTACAATGACTATTTCAGAAATATTAATGTGTAGAAGCTAAAAAGTTAATCTAATAGACATAGAGAGTAGAATAGTAGTTACTAGAGATCGGGAAGGGTGGAGTGGTAGGGGGTAGCCAAAAGTTGGTTAATAGACACAAAAATAGTTAATGGACAGCTAGATACGAGGAATAAGTTCTTGTGTTCTATAGCACTATAGGGTGACTATAATTAATGGCAATTTATGGTGTATTTTCAAACAGCAACAACAGTAGACTTTGAATGTTCCTGACAAAAGGAAATAATAAATGTTTGAGGTGATGGAGGTACTAATTAGACTGATTTAATCATTACACACTGTATATGTGTATCAAAACATGTGATCAAAACATCACACTGTACCTCATAAATATGTACAATTATCATGTCTCAATTAAAAATAATAATAAAACAGAATAAATCAGCATATAAAAATAAGCTAGTCATAGAACAGAAAGATTGAGTTTGTCTACAAGACTGCAGATTTATCAATACATTACTCAAAACCTTAGCATCACAATTATGATGACAGTATTTGTAAAATTAAATGTGAAATTTCAGGCTTTTACTATTTCAGATTAGTTCAAATCACTATTTCAAATCAAATCTCAAATAATTTTCACTTTCATGGATATCAAAATAAAATATATTTAGGTCCTCATCATTTATTGGGAGTCTAAGCAAGGACCTGCTCATCCAATTCTAAGATGAAGACTTTCAAAAACAGTAAAATGCTACTAAGCTCTCCCAAACTCAAGACCTATGTTGTGATTACTTATGCTACTTATCTATTTCTTTTTTTATATTGATGCAGATGGACCTTATGGACTTCAAGTGAATTCTGATAAAGGGCTAAAAGTAGGGGAAGTGTTTACTGTTGACCTTGGAGAGGCCATCCTATTTGACTGTTCTGCTGATTCTTATCCCCCCAACACCTACTCCTGGATTAGGAGGACTGACAATACAACATATATCATTAAGCATGGGCCTCGCTTAGAAGTTGCATCTGAGAAAGTAGCGCAGAAGACAACTGACTATGTGTGCTGTGCTTACAACAACATAACCGGCAGGCAAGATGAAACTCATTTCACAGTTATCATCACTTCTGTAGGTATGTGTGACATACAAGGAAGGGTTCCTAATAAAACACGAATGCATGCTGGCCTTGCCTTCCCCTATCTTATACCTATGTGGAAAAGAAAATCATTGTGGGATTATTCATATACTCTAAAAATCTCTCTTTCCAAAGTTAACAAAGCTGTGGTTTCTAGGACTCAAAGAAAGAAAACTCAAAATGAAATAGGGGAGAAATTCAATTCAATTGTGAAGGGCTATGAAGAAAAAGTGAATTCCATAAATTACTTCTAAATGTGCACTCTTGCTTTCCTAGTTTTATGAACAAAAATATAAGAGAAACAGCCTGCTCATTTAGAGAGTTTGTATCTACCATTGCATTAGGTCAGATGAATAAATCTCCATGAGTTGGGAATCTGATTTTCCCACTTCTATTTGATTCCCCTTCTCACTGTCTTTCATGGGCTCCCCTTCCTCTTTCACCATTTAAACACCTGAAAGCTATGGAAGTTCACAAGGGGAGTCTCAACACCTTGGAAATTACAAAATTCTGTAAGTCTGTGAAATTTGGCTTTCTCTAGAAATCCTCTGATTATCGGAAATATCATCAACCTGCAAATGTTAAGAATTACTGCCCAAAATATTGATGCCCACCAAATTCTCATCCTTCTACACCTTCTTTTCTCTCTCTCTACATAATGGTTTTATTCTCCTGTATGATTTTCTGTATGATTTCATTCATTTCCAAGGCTTCATGTAACACTGGTACATCCCAAATCTATATCTTTAAAGCTTTAAAACCGTACACCCAGCTTCCTCTGGATGTCTCTGCTTGGAAGTGCCAGAAGCACCATACAGGTCCAACATATCAAAACTGAACCATCTTCTTTTCCCCTAAATTGCTATTCTGCCTGTATTGCCTATTTAAGTGAATGGCCCTACTAACTACCAACCTAAGACAGAAAGCTAAATGTCATCTCAGACTCATTCCTCTTGCCTATTGCCTGGTCCCACATTCAGTCACCAAGTTGTGTCCATTTCCTTCCTTCCTATTTCTCAGATACATTTTCTTCTCTCCTTCTTCCTTCTTTTGTCTTTCTTTACTTATTTCTTTGTATTCTCTTCTCCTTCTCCCTCTCTCCTGCCTTTTCCCTCCCTACTCCTCCTCTTCCTTTTCCTTTTTCTTCTTCCTCTTCTATGACTACTTCTACTACTACTAAGTCCCTCTCAGACTCTCCTTTGCACACACGTCAAATGCCACTTGGGCAAAATCTGGGTGCAGGTTTGGACAGGACATGGTGGTTAAGGTACCTATGACTGGTGGAAGAACAAGTTTATAAAAGCTACTACTCATTAATATCTTTTCTATTGATGCCTTCTCTTTCTTCACCTTTATAGCACTAGTACCTAGAAAAAGACCCATAACACAGAGAAACTCAATATATTTTGTTAAATAAGTGATGCAACAATATAATTTTTTGTAATCCATAGGCTCAATTTTTCAGTATGTTGCCCTTGGGCCCTCTGCATCAAGATCACCTAGGGAGGTTGCTAAAAATGTAGCTTCATTAAGACACCTCAGACCTATTGGATCAGGATCTTTCAGGTAGCACCTGAGAATCTGAATATTCAGGACTCACAAGTGTGACAACCACTTGTTTAGTACATTTTATCTCCGGAGAGTTTTGAATTTATTAAAAAGTGCCTGAAGAGCCATGAAGAATTATAAGACTATTGCAAACCTACAGGTCGATGAAGAAATGTATAGTGGATAGGTTCCTCCTAGGGACTCCTTAAGGTACCAGGAGGAAAAATCACCTAGGTATATTGGAATGTATATACTGTCATGGTGGGGTTTTTTGAATCTGAATACAATGCACTGTTTGTTATGATAGCCGCTAACCTTATTTGGCTTTTGAGCACTTAACACATTGCTATGCAACTGAGAAACTGAATTTTTAATTTTATTTCATTTTTATTAATTTTAATTTGCATGTAAATAACTACATGTTTAGTGTTTACCATGTCAGACAATGCAGCTCTAGAATTTTTACCGGAGTTGCTTCATTTGGGCAGTAGATAATAATATATATTTCTTGTAGAGCCAAAAAGCATATGTGTTTTAGGGTGTTATAAGCACCATGCACCCATGCATTCATTTGTTAGCACCCATTATGGGCCAAATATCAGAGTAGGCACTAAGAATACCATATGAGAAAGGTAATTCCTTCTAACAAGAATTCCTGCTCACAATCTAATATGAGTGGCAAACACATAAACAGCTGAGGTACATCCTTTGCTTTCTGTTTTACTAAATTTTTTATAGGCTTAACCAGCTTTTCACCCCAGTAGCAAACCAAGACATAATTGTACAGCAAGCCATAATTAAGCATGTAAAATAGTAGCAATCCAGGTGTCATCTTCAGCTTGTTTCTCATGCTCACTGCAAGTGAAAACATGGCTGTAATGTATAAAAGTGTACTACAGTAAGGCTTTCCCACGGCCTAAACTTTCTACATTAATATTTAGCCAAGGTATTCTCATAATATCAGAAGCCCCCAATATTTGATTAAGATCTTATTACCAAGGTCTAAAGACAGCTACAGTCTTAACGTCAGATAATTACCTTTTGCAAAATCTAAAAAACCTGTTTGACCTGTACAAAGACCAAGCATTTGTTATTACAGTAAATAAGAAGAGCAGGTGCTTATTTTTCAGAGGGATTCAGAGCTGTCAATATTAGTGACCTCTTTGTGGCTTTTAGAGTTATTTTCTAACCCCCAAATGTCCACAGAGCTTTAACTCAAACAGCAACAAAATGGCAAAGAAAATGAATAGTATTGATGTGTTTTGTTAAATATTTGTTTTTTCTAAATTTCAAAGTCAGTGAACCTCTGCAGTATACATTAAGCATACACCAACCTACAGTTATAAATGACCATCACTTGCAACTATCAGTTGAGCCTACTGACCATCTACTCTAATGAATAAACTCTTGAGATCTGTGAAGAATTTGAAATCATTTAAAAGGTCAAAGTACCTGCTTTTGAGATGTTTCCAGAACCGAACTGGTGTTTGGTATAGCCAGTGAAGTTGTAAGAAATAGATTAACCTCTTACTTCTTAATAAGGCAAAACATTTGGCTGACCAAAAAGTTTTAGCGATAGAATGTGGAAGCCAAAGGAAAAAGGAGTCAGAGATGACTCCAAGGTCACAGATGTGGAAAGAAAATAACAAAGTCAGGAAATAATCAAGTTTTATTAGGGATTTTCAGTGGGGAGAGGAAGGCTGGAGAGAACAATTAGTTCTGTGTTTTTCTGCCTTTCTAAGACTGCAGCAAACGGTGACTTTTACCTCTTTGGACTATGATTCACATCTAATTTGAGATATTAATTGACCTTTTCATATCTTCATGGAAATATCCTAAAGAAAACAGAGACAATAGGCAAGTTCACACTGCTAGTGATAAAATAATATCCTAATTCAAAGCCCTTGTTTTTTATTTTTGTTTTTGTTTTTGTTTTTGAGATGGAGTTTCACTCTGGTTGCTCAGGTCAAAGTGCAGTGGCATGATCTCGGCTCACTGCAGCCTCTGCCTCCTGGGTTCAAGCGATCCTCTTGCCTCAGTCCCCCAAGTAGCTGGGATTAAAGGCACGTGCCACCATGCCTGGCTAATTTTTGTATTTTTAGAAAAGATGGGGTTTCACCATGTTGGCCAGGCTGGTCGCAAACTCCTGACCTCAGGTGATCCACCCATCTTGGCCTCCCAAAGTGCAGGGATTACAGGCATGAGCCACTGTACCTGGCCCAAAGCCCTTGTTTTTAACCACTATAAAAACTGTCTCCTTTGATATAACTGAGAATATTGATGAAACCATATGGTCTTTCTAAAAGATAGGTATAGGGTCACACATAAAGTATAGTGTGTACTTTCTCATCACCTATCTAATTTAATGCTATGTATGTAGAGATATTCTGGTTTGTCTACAATGTGTATAATTTCATATTAATGCAAAGTTAGGAAATACATGTAACTGAAAGTAATGTCTATGATATGTTTCAAGAAAAGAATAATTATTAAAATGATAAATTAGCTTTGTGTTTTGAAAAACAATATTTTATTACCTTAATTAAGGACTTCCTTGAATGCAGATGTCCCTACTTTAAAGTTTTAACTGAGCTTAAATTGCTATTGTGACATGCAATGTATAGACAGACAGACAGATAGATAGATAGATAGATAGATAGATAGATAGATAGATAGATAGATGATAGATGATAGATAGAGAATGTTTATGGAAATGCAACCATCTGATCAGAATTCAAATGTTCACATTTAATGAAGGCATTCAGTTATATAAATAGAATTCCCTAAGGCCATGTGGGTGTAGTTTGAGATTTAGCCATAATGGAAATGTTTTCAATTTGTACGTGATCCTGAGAAAGCTACCATTTTTTACATTTATTTATATTCCCCATCTTTTCTTAAAGAAGAGAACAGGAAAAAGACTCAAGGCAGGAAAATGAATTTACTGATTTTTTCTATCTGGAAATTTCTCAAGTCAAGGCCTCTAGGAAGTGTATTTTACTTTGGGCCTTTGGAAATGACAATTAAGATGGAACTACAAATCTGACATTCAGACCCTGAGACCTAAGGTGATGTCTCCATGAGCATCCAGCATTGAACAACTTTATCTGTCAGGTGGGCTTATGATGGAGTGTGGAAATGGCACACTCCTCAACGTGGCACCTTCATCTCCGGAGGGACATGAGTCAGCTACCATAATCAGTGAACAGATTGGATGAGAGAGATCTCAAGACTTCATTTTGATCTAGAAATAGATACACAGACTGGTAGCATATGGCTGTCCTGCATTGAGTGCAGTCTCAAACAGCAGGGTTGCGATACCATGGATACCACACCTCTTGCCCATATTTGCACTTAACATGTTATTCCATTTTATTTGTTTGCCTAAGGAGGAGGCAAATAGCATTTGCACTATGGTTTTGGCACATGAGTCCATCATGTTTAAATAA